TAGATTTATGAAAAAGGCAGCGAAATATAATTTGGGCTTAAAAATGCCCAACTTGGAGAATATCAATTCCTAACATGTATGATCCTCAACATCTCCAGGTGCTAATTAAATTATTAAAAATATTAATGTTGGATGTTAACACTATGACTTTTAAAGATGTTAGATTTTTCACTAAACCCAGATAACACAGAACTTGAACCCCCCAAATTACCACCCCATGCATAGTACTACATTTTCAATAGCTGTAATAGAGCTATTAAGAGTATGACCAAGAGAATAAAAGGAAAAAAATCTAAACTTGGATACAAGGGCTAGCCTAGATATTGAAATGTGTCTTTCCCTAACCATATTGTTAAAATAATTTTAAGATATTTAAAATGAAGGACTGGTTCATTTTTTCTTTCTTTTTCTTTTTTCTTGTTTTTTCCTTTTTTGTGGATCTTGCAGCTTGAACTGCTGCCCCTTGAGCTCTTCAGCTCAAGGCAAGTATTCTACCACTTGAGCCACAATGTCTCTTCTGGTTTTCTGGTGGTTACCTGGAGAGAAGAGTTTTATGGACTTTCCTGCCCTGGCAGGCTTTGAACTGTAATTCTCAGATCTCAGCCCGGCTTGTTCATTTTCTTGCTAGCAAAAACATAATAAAATGTATTGAATGAACTACAGGAAAGTCCTTTTCCACATATTCTATGGACTTTATAGTGAGTCATGCCAATAGCAGAAGAGGATAAGAATGACAAAATGGACTTAAAAAATGCAGATTGGGGACTGTAGAAATGTCTTAAGCAGTACAGTGTCTGCTTAGCAAAGCATGAGGCCTTGACTTCAATCCTTTGTACTACCCCACCTCCACACCCCAGATGCACTTGGGAATTTTGGCTCCCTCAATTTTTAGCAGTGCAACTGGAACACCATAACCTTTTGGGCCTTCATTTTCTTCAACTGTATAACAGAACCATGAGAATTAGCAGTAAATGCCAGGTGCCGGTGGCTCACGCCTGCAATCCTAGCTACTCAGGAGGCTGAGATCTGAGGATCGCAGTTCAAAGCCAACCCGGTCAGGAAAATCTGTGAGACTCTTATCTCCAATAAACCACTAGAAAACCGGAAATGGCACTGTGGCTCAAGCAGTAGAGCCTTGCATGCATGAGGCCCTAGGTTCGATTCTTCAGCACCACATAAGCAGAAAAAACTGGAAGTTGTGCTGTGGCTCAAGTGGTAGAGCGCTAGCCTTGAGCTGAAGATCTGAGGGACAGCGCCCAGGCCCAGAGTTCAGGCCTCACCACCGACAAAAAAAGAAAAAGAAAAAGTTTACTAATAATGTAGGAATGAATGTTATCTTGAGTATCACAATTCAACATACACTATGTAACTGTAATGATTATTATTGTATAGACTTAATGCTAAGGTAATAGAGCAAGGAACAACATGAGTTTTACATCTCAAGTCTCCTTAATTCCTAATTACCTACTTTGGCTATTCTATAGGATGCTACTCATAGGTACTCCCTTTTTTTTTTTTTTTTTGATGATCATGGGTCTTGAACTCTGAGTCTGGGCATTGTCCCTGTGCTTTCTTAAACTCAAGGCTAGCACTCTACCACTTGAGCTACAGTGCCACTTACGGTTTTCTGGTGGTTAATTGGAGACAAGAGTCTCTCAGACATTCCTGCCCAGGCTGGCTTTGAATCGTAATCCTGACATTCAGCTTCCTGAATAGCTAGGATTACAGGTATGAGCCACTGGCACCTGGCTTCTCTCCTGATTTTACATTGAAAGTTTTCTTACATCTCTGTCCATGAGTATGAAACTAAGCATGTGGCTTCCAGTTACAACTTCCAAAAGTAAAATGTTCCATAAAGAGATGACAATGATGGGCTGGGATGTAGCTCAATGGCAAAGCGCTTGCCTAGCAAATGCAACGTCCTGGGTTCCATCCCCAGTACCAAAAAAGAAAAGACAAAAAAAAAATACAGTTAAAGAGATGACAATGAATCCACTATGCAAATATTTTAAGTTCCTGTTATTGTCCCAAGGAGGGGAAAAACCCTTTCACTTTTTATTCATCATACTTCAGTTTGAAACTTGCTATTATTTGTTATAAAAATTTCCTACACTCACAAAATTCTCATTCAGACACCACCAACAATTTACTCACAATTATCAGCTTAAAAAACAACAACACTAAAAAAACCTACTCCTAGCTACTCAGGAGGCTAAGGTCTAAGGGTTACATTTCAAAGTCTGCCCAGGGAAAGAAAGTCGATGAGACAAAAAGCTGGAAGTGGAGCTATGTTCAAGTGGTAGAGTGCCAGCCTTGAGAGAAAAAGCTGAAGGACAGAACCCAGTGCCAGAGTTCAAGCTCCAATACTGCCCCAGCTCCAAAACACACACACATACACACAATCAACAAACTATAAAGAAGTATATTCCATGGGTCTTGGAGGTTGAGATCTGAGGATTGTGATCTAAAGCCCAGACAGACTCTTATCTCCCACTTGGTGAAAAAGCAGAAATAAAGCTGTGGCTCAAGTGGTAGAAGGCTTGCTTGCCTTGAGCACAAAAGCTCAAGAACACTGCTCAGACCCTGAGTTCAAGTCCTAGGACTTGCACAAAAAAAGGAAAACTCACTATAGCCATTTTCATTTGTATTCTGGCATGTAGCATGTCATATCATAATCAAAGAAAAACATTTGGCTTATTAACACTTGAGTCACATGAGTACAGGAGAGCCAAGTGCTGCTGGCTCATGCCTATAATCCTAGCTACTCAGAAGGTTGAGGGTCACCAGAGGATGGTGATTCCAACTAGTCTAGGCAGAAAAGACTCTCTCTCTAAAATAATCAACAGAAAGCAGAGCTGGAGGCCTGGATTAATTAGTAGGGCCAATCTATCTAAGCAAAACCCTGAGGCCTAGAGTTCAAATATCTATACTATCAAAAAGAAAAGAAAAAAGTAAACAAGGACTTCCCCCACTCCCCATTCTTCTGTTTGTTTATATATATAAGGCTGGGTCTTGCAATTTAACCTTCAGTGGCCTTGAACTCACCCAGTAGCCCAACATGGCCTTAAATTTACTATTCTAAGCCTCTGGAGTATCAGTATTTTAGTTGTAAACCACCACACCCAGCTTTCTTTCTTTTTTTAACCTTTTCAGATCCTATTTAGAAAGCTAGTTGCCAGCTACATACAATTAAGGTAAACAAATATACCTAATAAGTTTTCTTTGCTACTTTAGTAAATTAACAGTACATATAAACTACAAATTAAAATATTAAAATGTAAAGTAGAAAAGCAATTTTATAGTACATATAATAGCTAATTGCAGCAGCAAAGGGCTATCATCAACCCAATGTTGGGTGTGTGTGTTGGGTGTGTTGGTTGTGTGTGTGTGTCAGATGTAGGGCTTGAACTATTCAGCTCAAGGCAAGTACTCTACCACTAGAGCCACAGCACCACTTCTGGCTTTCTGGTGGTTAATGGGAGAAGAGTCTCCCAGACTTTCCAGGCCCAGCAGGCACTGAACCAGGATCCTCAGATCTCAGCCTCCTTAGTAGTTAGGGTTACAGGCGTTAGCCCGGCTCCAATGTTCAGTTTTGAGGATTCCCTTTTGATTCCTCTTAACTCCCAAATTTTTATTTAGTAACTTTAATGACATTCTGGACGTTCACATTATTTACTAAATATGAAACTACTATAAATTAACTTATTGGGCTCACTGCATTAGGGCAATAGTGTCCTATTAAAGCACCAAGTCTTTTTTGCTACAATACTTTGAGATTAAGTTACATATGGAAGTGACCATTCTTTGATTTTCTCCACTCATCAGCAACTTAATACTGTAGCTCTAAATATAAACTTCCTCCAAATGCACCCTATCTTGATTATCATTGTGGCTAATTTCAAGTATTTTCCTCATAAGCATAAAAAGAAATCAAAGAATAGAATATACTGAAGACCCAGTAGGTAAGATTTTCATGCCCAGTTGCCTGAAACTTCTGTCTCACACTTTGGTTTTTGTCTTAAGCACTTACATCCTTTAAATGGAGATGAAGCAAAACACCCAGTGAGACTGATACACTCGAGTGATCCCAGGTCAGCCTGATTCTCTGCCAGAACAGGCCAGTTAACATCTACTCTTGTGTAAGTTTCTTTCTCCCTTATCCACTTCCTGCACGTTCTTATAGTATTGTAATTCATTCGTTACAATACTTGACTTCCCAAAGAAATTCAGTCCCAACTAGATTATTAGCGTCTTCTTTTCCGACTTTCTGTCGGAACTTTCCTCAATCCCAAAACTATAAACCTCCCCGTCAAGGGAGAAAAAAAAGTTCCTAAGAAGCAAACAGACCGTCATGGGTTTCCTGGAGTTTCTCTAGACTTTTGTCCCAATCTCAAAGAATGGAGACATCTAAGAGTTTCCAGAAAACAAAGAGCCACCAAAGTACAGACTAAACGGGAAAGAAGAAGGAAGTATCAGAAACAATACCCCCAAACCCAGCCCAGGACCGAAAACCCCTCTTATCATTCCAATCCCCCCTCCCCCACTGCTCCCTATCAATGAATGCCTCAAAAACTCGGGAGAAATGGCCTGCGAACAACAAATGCTTCCTGAGGAAGGCAGCAGGAAGAAAAAAGCAGGACTCTGGCTGTTTGGGGCCGTGATGCTTTTTCGCCGGGTGGAAGGAGGCTAGCCAAGGGTTGTGTAAAGAATGGAAAGCTGAGTGGTATGGGGGGAGGGGGGAATTAGGGCGCTAGAGCTAATCCCCCTCCGGGGTCCGCCGGTGGGAAGGGGCAATAGGCGAGCCCCAAAGGACGGCTTGCTCTGGGTTTTCGGGTCGCGGGAGAAGAGAAAGAGCTGGCAAGCCTCCCCGGTGGTGGGTGGCGGTGCCCGGCGAGGGAGGTGGCTCGAAGCGGAGCGACTGTTTCGAGGGGGGCGGGGAGAGTGGGGCTGGCCTTTTCCTCCCTCTTCACCCCCTAGCCCCCCCCTCCCCGAGCTCACACCTCAAACCTGCTCTTGGTCACTCCGTTCACGTCCCTCCTCATGGGGCCGGCGGGTGCGGCCCGGGCAGGGCGCTGCGGCGTGCGGAGTGCAAAGCTAAGGGGCCCAGGGCAGGCCCAGGAGTTCCGGGACGGGAAGGCGGTGGCGGCTGGGCAAGGTCAGGACCGTCGGACAGAAAGAAGAGGTCCCTGGAGTCCAGCGAGGCCTCCACTACCTTCCGCGGCAACCGCGGCCGCGACGACTGCTTGTCGCTAGCTCAGCTCTCTCCTCAGCCTCAACTTCAACCCAAAACAAAAACACTCCCCACCTGCCAGCAACGCCGCTTCTCATTGGGCAGAGCCGCCCGGGCCTCGGAACGCCGGGGGAGGGGAGGAGCGCGCGGCGGCGCTGGCGGCGCGA